CCTTTTTTCAGAAATGATTTCGGAAAATTGTTTTGGGGAGAGAGTTTTAAAAAAAGTGATTGATTTGATGTGTATGAGAGAGAGTGATTTTGGAAAGTAGGTAACCAAACAAAATTTTGAGATTTTTTTTGGAAAAATTTGTTTGGTTTGATTACTCTTAAAAATTTATTTGTAGAGAATTTTACCCAAAAATTTTTCTAAGAAGACCAAACAAGGCTATAAATTTTAAAGACAAAAGGAAAAAGCATACGCCACAGGAGCACTCATGATTTGAAAGTTCAATTGATATACAAGAATGTTTTGTTGTGCAAACAAATTGCTGAAAAAGCACAATCCCAATACCAATTGTTTATAGTATATGTATTTATACATACATGCCCCTAATAACTCACTGGACTAATTGATAAATACCAATTGATATGTATTTATAGTATATGTATTTATGCGTACATGTGGAATATTTAAGATGAGAAATACACTTGAGTTGGACACATTTAATCTAAGCTTGTAGTACTTTTCAATCCAGCAAGGGTAATGGCAGAGTCTGTTGTCACCTTTACCATCAAAGGACTTGGTGTTTTAGCGATTCAAAATGCACAATTCTTGTATGATATGAGTGACCAAGTGGAGCAAGTTCAAGCACACTTAAGGCAGATGCAATGCTTCTTGAAAGATGCAGATGCAAAACAAGATGAACATGAGACGATTTACAATTTGGTTGCAGAAATTAGAGAAGTTGCTTATAACGCGGAGGTTGTTGTTGAAACTTTTGTTTTTGAAGTGGCATCAAGGAGAGGAGGTTTTCGAAAAATCCTCATCAGATCTGTTAACATCTTGAGTGAAGTTTTAGCCCGCTACAGGATTCGGTCTGAGATTGAAACTATTAAAAAAAATATCAATATTCTCATCTCAAGCTTACAAAGTTACGGTTTAATTGCTGTAATGGAAAGAGAAGGTAGTACGAGTTCTACATATCAAAGGAAACTTCAATTTTGGCGATCTTGTTCCCATGTTATTGAAGAGGATTTTGTTGGTTTTCAAGAAGACATGAAGACATTAATCAAACATCTGGTGAATGAAAGAAAACAAAATTGTCAGGTTGTTGCTATTTGTGGCATGGGTGGTCTACGAAAGACCACCCTTGCTAAGAAGATATACCATCACCAAATTATTAGGAACCACTTTGATCGATTTGCTTGGGTCTGTATATCTCAACAATGGCAAAGAAAAGATATTTTGGAAGGGATTTTTACTAAACTTGTACTAGAGCAGAAAAATCAAATTTTGAACATGAGAGATGAAGAATTTGTCAAGCAACTTTACCGAGTCCAACAAGAGAAAAAATGCCTAGTGGTTATTGATGCCATTTGGTCAACATATGCTTGGGATAGTCTGAGAGCTGCCTTCCCACCAGGAATAGGAAGTATGGGCAGCAAAATATTGATTACAACTCGTAATAAAGAAGTAGCTATGCACATAGATCCGACTTGTTTCCTCCATGAACCGAAGTGCTTAAATGAAGAAGAGAGTTGAGAGCTATTTCAGAAAAAGGTCTTCTCAAGAAGAGATGGTGCAGGTTAGTCTCTTCAATCATTGAATTTCTCCTCAATTGACTCCCTTGCATTAAATATTAAAGTATCATAATATGTTTGTCTAGTGGTTCACTATATTTATTCATGGTTTAGGTAAAAGAGGTAAACAAATATAGGTAAACGAGAATTTCTTCTGAGTCATCTTCATATATCTCGTCATCGTATTAAGTGCTTTGATCTTGCAATAAAATCTTTCTAGTAACTTTTTCTTAGTCTCATAGTTACTTTATTTATTTATTTATATTAAGCCTAGATTTTAGATTTGTTGAGGGAAATGAAGAATTAAGAGAAATAATATTACTTGTAATTACTCATTTTTCTATCAGTAATTGTGGGTAAGTCCCTTGGAGGATTGAATATCTCAGAAGACATATTTCAAATCTCTTTGACTTAAAATTCATGCATTTTTTGAAGTAAAATGTTAGTTTTCAATGGTAACCTACCATGCGAGGGAGGTTCTGTTATCAACTAACTACTTCGTTGATTTTGGAACCTCTCCTGGTTTTGCTAGAGAATAGGCTATGGATTTGGTTTTGGGGATAGTCATTGGACCACAAATTTATTAGGGATTTAGGCATGGGGTACTGTTAGGAAAAATGTCTCTTCCTAACAAGGATCGACGAGACATAAAATAGCAAACAAGAAAGATAATCAAATCAAAGAAATCAAATATACGTGGTTCACTCTAGAATTGGGCTACGTCCATGGTTGTTGCAGTTTTAACTATGATAAGAAAACGATACAACTCTCTTAACTTGAAAGAGACGGCCCCTTCATCTATTTATTAGTATAGAATTAGTGCAATGTGGAAGCAACAGGGAAATTACTAAAGTACCCCCTGGACCCCCTTCCCTTGGGAGGAGGCCCTCTAAACCCCTTATTTGACCGAGGATTGAGTGAACAGTACTTATCTGGGTTCACAGACCCAATAGGTACGCCCCTTATAAATTTGTATTTGCTTTCATTTTTTCAAATGCTTACTTGCTCCAAAAAAACCCTACCATATATTATCTAATGCAATTAGTCAATGTTTCAGATTTAAGGAGGGACAGATTTTTTCAGATCTAATATGCAATCAGTAAATGTTTCAGATCTAATCTCTATTTGTGAAATGCACAAGTCAACAAATAGTTAGCAGATTTTTTCTACATGTTTAAGCAAATTCAGTAAGAAAGAAATAGAAAATCATCATTTTTACATGAAATGTATTGTATTTTCTAGTTTCCAATATTTTGTCACATGTTATTCTTTTTTATGTACAAGTGAGGGTGTTATATTTACTAACGAGTTCTTCCATTTTATTTGTAACTACAAATTTGCTCTTTGTTCCTTTTGTAGACTTCAAAGTTGACACCAGAATGGAGATGTTAGTGAGGGAAATGGTTGAACGGTGTGGGGGTTTACTGCTAGCCATTGTTGTGTTAGGAGGAATCTTAGTGACAAAACATACTTGGAGTGAGTGGGAGATAGTTCATCAAAATTTAAATTTGTTTCTAAGAAGGGGCAAAAGCGTTGGACAACAATGCGGAGGAGTAATGGAGGTGTTGGCTCTTAGTTATCATGAATGGAGATGTTAGTGAGGGAAATGGTTGAACGGTGTGGGGGTTTACCGCTAGCCATTGTTGTGTTAGGAGGAATCTTAGTGACAAAACATACTTGGAGTGAGTGGGAGATAGTTCATCAAAATTTAAATTTGTTTCTAAGGAGGGGCAAAAGCGTTGGACAGCAATGCGAAGGAGTAATGGAGGTGTTGGCTCTTAGTTATCATGACTTGCCATATCGGTTGAAGGCATATTTTCTTTGTTTGGGAAATTACCCAGAAGATGTTGAGATAGAAGCAGAGAAATTATACCAACTGTGGATGGCTGAAGGTATCATATTACCATCATCATTGAAGGATAAGGAAAAAGGGGAAGGAGAAACAATGATGGATGTGGCAGAATGTTATTTGGATGAATTGGCATAGAGATGCATACTTCAGGTGCAGCTAGAGGAGTACCCAATCAGGTACCAAGGAAGGTTTAAATCATGCAAGCTTCATGACCTTATGAGAGACCTATGTTTGTTAAAGATAAAAGAGGAAAATTTTCTTAAGGTCGGTCATTTGATGAGGCATAAAAATGAGCAACAACAACTAGTGGAAAATTCCTATCCTTCTTCTTCATTATCATCATATAGGAGTAGTCAAACACACAGACTTGCAATTGCCTTTGATGAGAATGTTGATGGAGACCTTTCGCTCCTCAAACAAAAACAAGTTCGGCACATTCGGTCAGCTGTATTTTTCTATGGAGGCGGGTGCAGTCATCGACTCTGAGAACAAATCAAACCCTGTATTTTCAACCATCACAAATTGCTGAAAGTTCTAGATCTTGAAGCAATAGGACATCGCTTTTTTAGTGTGAGTGATCTAAAGTTACCAAAAACAATTGGAAAGTTAATCCACTTGAGGTACTTGGGTTTAAGATATTCATGGTTCAACCAGTTGCCATCATCAATAGGCAAGTTGAGGTATTTGCAGACCCTTGATTTACGGACACTATCACATCCATTGATACCAAATGTGCTATGGAAATTGACACTACTGCAATATCTTTATCTTCCTCAATCCTTACGTATAGAAAATGGTGACATATTACGATTAGATGGGTTAGACAACCTAGAGATGCTAGAAAACTTCCATACATATTATTGTGATATCAAGGATCTCTTAAAATTAACCAATCTTCAACAGCTAAGGGAAGCAAAAATGTGGGGGAGACGTGAGGATATGATCAACTGCCTCTTCAGCATCATCAACCCAAATTAACAACTCTTCTGTCACTCTTCACTTTCTATTCGCGACTCTGATGTTTTCTCCAAGGAGTCAAATCTTCTAACACAATTATTGGGGTGTCATCATCTTCATAAATTGGAAATACAAGGGCCTATACAAGTGTTAGCACCACCAGTTGACTATCAGATGAATATCTTTTTGTATTCAAGCAGCAGCCTCACCCAGCTATGGTTGGAGGGATCTCTACTTAAGGAAGACCTTATGTCCACACTGGAGAAGTTGCCTAACTTAAGGGGCCTCTACTTAGATGAAGCCTTTGTGGGGAAAGAAATGGTTTGTTCTGCAATGGGATTCCCTCAACTAAAACATCTAAAACTCAAAGGTTTGCACAACTTAGTGAGGTGGAGGGTGGCTGAAAGGGCCATGCCCAATCTTTTGACTTTAGAAATTCAAAGTTGCAAGAAGTTGAAGATGCTGCCAGATGAATTGAGATCCGTCCTTCCCCACGTGCAAGTGTTGATTGAAGAGATGCCTGAGGAATGCCATTACTTCCGGCCGACCAGTCCCCCCATCTCCTCATCCGTTCCCCCTCCCCCTTTTCCTCCCCCTCCCCCTCCCTCTCCCCCTCTTTGGGGAGTTCCTCTTTTGAGAGATATGAGGGACTAAACTGTTTATTAGAGAATCAGTCTTCAGGTATTTTCTTAATCATCATCTTATTTTATTTCCATTGCATTATTAACCGAAATAATTTAAAAAGAACAAGAAGAAAATCACTGCACCTTTCACATCTCTCTCCCAAGCCATGATCTTCAATTATTGTTCCATGCATCTGTCATCTTAACAACTGTCTCTTCCTCTATCTCTCAGTGCATGGTTCCAATGCCACTTTTCTTCATATTAAGGGTTGTTTTGGGAATTGACTATTTTAGTTGGCTTTTTAGCTTTTTACAAAAAGACGTGCAAAAAGTAGAGAGAAAAGTCGATCTTTTTGTAGTGACTTTTTGACTTTTTCGCTAAAATAGGCTGTTGCCAAAACAGCCCTAAATAACTGAGGCTGTTGCACCAGATGATTATTCCCATTTGTAGCCAACAATTTCTTCCTATCATATACAAACCAGCCATTCCTCAGTACCCAATTTGGATTTGCATAATAATGGAAAAAATGAAAATTAGTTCAGACTCCTTTTTCCACATTTTCATCATTCATGGCAAAGTACTGCTCTTGGCTGCAGCATCATCTCCCTGAGATTTCTTTTAAAGATGATATTTTTGACAAAATATGTCCGTTTTTTTTTTTGGGTTGTGTGTGTGTGTAAAAATCCTATACTAAACTGTATATATTGGGTTCATCCGATTTAAACACTTTGAATCTCTATTTTTGGTGGCAGTGGTTCTGTTAAAAGGACCCCAAAGAACCGTATGCTGGGTCATCATATAATCATGGACTCAAAGGTACCATTCTGTGTGTGTGTTTGTTTGTCTCTGTCTCTTTAAGTTTATGTCTGTACGTGCTTCAAACCAGAATAAAAATACTGTTATCCATCATTAGTCATTTAAATAAGAGACAAATGTCATGTCACCATATCTTGTTAGTCAGTATAAATAAAAGTAACATAGAAACCCATTAAGCTCCATGATTTCTAGTTTTGAAGAAGAAAAGAAACTACTTATCAAGTTCCAGAGAAGATAGAAAATGGCTGATCATCAATTTCCATGTGAAATTTTTTGACAGATTGGCCCACATGTATGGCTGACACATGAGGAGGTTTATGATGCTGCTCTTCAAATTGGTTCTGGATGGTCAATCTTGTAAGTTGACAATTTAGCCAAACATTAGTTGAAGTAAAAAGTGGTTTTGAAGTTTGAAAAACTAGTGTGACTTTGCATATTTGAAACTGATTAATATAAATAGTGGGTTATGCTTTTTCAGGGAGAACGATGCAGTATATATGGATCCAATTTCCCAGAATCGATCATTTCAATGGAGGTATGCTGTACTTTGTTTTAAGGCTTGGTTTGGTTTGGTATGCTGTACTTTGTTTCTCTTCATGTAGAAAGAAACTTAATTGCTTTGGTACATACATTGCCATGGTTCTTTCTTATTTATTTTACTAATATTTCTTTACTTAATAAGTGGTATGCCAAAACTATTACCAATTTGAATTGGCTATTTTCACATATGCTTGTAACAGCCATTCCATAGCCTATTTACCGCTGTATGACACACTCGGTATGTTTTCTTCCTTCTCATTAAACCAACAGGTTGTTATTTTAAGCATTTGAGCTCGAAATGTAGGGTATGTGGCTAAAGTTAATTTAAACTTTAACAACCACCGGCCATTGAATCAGTCTTAGTTTGTTCTGCTGGTGTCACTGATGCAAATTCTGTGGAGTTCATCATCAACCATCCTGAAGTTTCGATAGCTTTTGTCCAAGAGAATAAGATAGATACTGGCTGTATGTTCTCATTACTTCTCCCTAGATCAAGAATTTAGATTTTTGGGAATTATCATGATCACATGATCACTTTTCTAGAGTTGCAATCTATGAAGCATGTGTACTTTGCATACATTTCGTATCTACTGGGTATTGGTATTTTTCATGATTCTGCATATGTACCAGGTATATGCAACACGGACCCAAAAAATTTTCTTCTTAATTTTGGCTTACTCTAGAGGTTACCTAGTATATGCTTAAGTTGTACCCCCAGCCGGAATAGTATTTTCTTTTATGTAGATGTAAAGTTAGACTACTTCTTTTTAATTTTTAATTTTTTAATTTTATTTTTATAGCATAACAACTGATAATGCAGTTCGTCCTGGGTGGATGGGCTGGTCCAAGCTCCTCAAGTTTCGATTCAGGCGGATGACTCCTCCAGATGACCTGCGAACAAGTCCAGAGGGGAACGGGGTAGTCCCCCAGTGAACCCTCCGGCGAGCGAATCAGTAGTGAGAGAAGGAAATATATATATATATAGAGAGAGAGAGAGAGAGATAGGAAAGCTTAACCTTCTTCCTGTCTTCCACCTTTGCTTATATCCTTTGGTAATCATTTCACTGTCTCTTGTGACGTGCCCCCTTCCGCCGAAAGCCTGTGCCGTAGCTTACCTTGTTCAGGGTGAGGGGGCTCTATTCCGACGGGGAGGTGTTGTTGTAATAAATACTGTGATGGGCTGCATTAATGGTGATGTGTTGTGGCAATAACTCTGCAGATATTTGTCTGCTGATGTGGCCTGTGTTCCACCTGCTATGTGTCCGAATGCCATTGGCCCTCCATGTCCAGATGACTTCCAGCTGTCCTGGGCTTTGCCAACCGGGTTATGCTATGGGTCCCAAGCGATGGGTTTGGGGTGGTTTGCTGTGGGCCGTAAGCCTTGTGGGCCTATCCATGTCAGTAGTCCCCCATTTCCGAGTGCAATAGAGCAGTTGATACACTCGTCGGTGGTATGACCATGGTCTTGGTGGAAACGACAGTACTTGGACTGATCTTTCCGAGTGGAAGGGTTTCGTGAAGGTAGGGGCCACTTGAGGGGGTAGTCCCGCTGGATCTGATTGAGGAC